CCCCCTCCCCGCGCTCCCTAAGAGACTTGTATTTTACAGTCGCGCTTGAGCTGCGACCCATGTGACGCAAGGTCCTTTACCAGACCATAAGAGGGCTTACCTATGATTTCTGCACTTGTGTTACTGCTTGGTCATCTCAGGCCGGACATCTTTTAACTTTTCGGGCAAATTGGTTCTGATGCCCAAAAGCTTGAGAGCGTGGTCCCACTTCAAGGGTTGCAGTGCTTTTGTGAAGATGTCTGCTGCCTGGAGATCGGTTGCTACGTACTTGATCACGCCCGTGCCGGGTTCAAGTTGCTCTGCAAGTGCGGACAAGTTCACTTTATGAGTGCGCTGTGTGTGCCGCATTTTTGGAGAGTAGCCTTTCTTGGCAACGAGGATAGTGGCTTGGTTATCTTCGTGCAACACCAGCTCAATCGGGCGTCCAAGCAAACATTCCCACAAGGTCAAGGAGGGAAGACCCTCTTGATACAAGGAGAATGTGAGCGAAACGACCTCGGCCTCGGTGGTGGACCTCGACACTGATGTCTGTCGTTTGCTCAACCACGCTAAAGGAAAATGGGTGTTCGGTCCTTTGAGGACCAAGAAGCCACCGGACGTGGGCTTCGCATCCCTTTCTCCAGCATAGTCGGCATCCGCGTACAGAGCGAGGTGAAGATCTTGCGGGTTATCCTTTATGACTCCTACCAACCGGTAGTGCGTAGTCGAGTGGATGTACGCGATGAGACGGGCGAGTTGCCAATCGTGGTTGCGAGACCACTTCTGCACGGCAGGACTCCGCTCTCGGCGGACGATGCCAGTAGGAATCCGGCAGGTCGTACGGGTTGTCCGAGGGCGGCGGACGCGGCGCCCGACGCGATGGCGCCCTCGTACCGGTGCTGCACGGGCCGGAGGTGTCGAAGAGCTGGAGCTCCTGGCCCTCGACCCCGCTGCGCTGCGAGCTGCAGCCCTGAGAAGAGTTCTGGATCTTTGGCGTCGGGATGACGCTTTCGCTGCCGGTGCAAGGGAAGGCTGACCGGCGGCGTCCTCTTTCTCCGCGATGAGGAGCCTCCCTGCAGCTGTGCATCTCCCCCTACCCGCTGCAGCCTTGGTGATGGTGGACACAGTTGTTGTGGAGGCTGGACTTGATGGGGCGCTTGGTTGTTGTGGCTGAGCTGGTGGTGCGGAAGCCTGCCCCGCCGCGCCTTGAGCTGCGGGCTGCGCCCGTTGTAGGAGTGGGATGGGTTGATGTCGGCCTTGGGCGGTGACGGCGTCGTAGAGGTCGGGGTAGATGTCCCGCAGATGCCGATAGCTCTGATCGGTGAAATCTGCTCGCCACGCCAGGAGGGAGCTCCGACGCAAGTCCGAAGCTTATTCTCAGGGGACCCTTGCCACCCCAACCTTGAACTCCCGCCAGGCCCACCGGGTGAGCTCGTCGAAAGCCTCGTAATAAAGCTTTCGACGAGCAGTCGCCCCTCTGTCCACGGGCCGAAAAGGCCGGAGCCGGGTTCACGCACGAAGTGCGCTGACTACCGGACTGAGGGGGCCTAATCCCAAAAAGCAGTACGGCTGATAACCACTCAACAGGGAAAGAAACACAGAGAAACCGGGACCCTTATTAACCCCAGTCCGGTAGGCGAGCGCAAACCCTGTTTTACTGATGGGCATTGGTTACTTGAGCCAAACGGTCATTGCCGTTCAACATGAGTTCATGCAGTCAGCGGGGCCTCCAACATCACATGCATGCACACCCTTCTGGGGCGGGGTCGTGATTATTCAACTTTCAATCGGGGAAAAATGTATCTTTGGAGGGACAAACCTCAGACGCCGGCGGCGATTCCCTGAGGCAGCTTGATGTTGTTGGACTTGCAGTGAGTCTCCACCTCGTCGGCGCTCGCCCCTGTTCTCCCGCCTTTGACCTGGGACCTGTTTGTGAGCCGACAAAAAGGTCCAGAAGACAACCCTGACAACCTCTAACCTCCAGGTCTTTTCTTTATCCGCTTCTATGTTTTGCGGGAACTGACTTTTCCAACTGCGAGCCCTGGCTTCCTGAGGAACCCAACGGTCTAAGCTCCCGTCATCCCGAATTCAAGTACGGCGTTTTGACGGCCCAAGGCCTCCTGGAGCACACCCTCGAACTCGGCGCGGGCGCGGGCGCCCAGGTAGGCACCTGCACCAAAGGGCTCTGGAGCCGCGAAGCCGCGAAGCCGCGAAGCCGCGAAGCCGCGAAGCCGCGAAGCCCCTTGGCCTTTTACCCCGGCCCCAAGTGCACGCTGCGAGGCTCTGAGGCTCCGAGGCGCGCACGCAGCAGTTGCTCCGCAAGCCGTGTGCTCGTGACTGCGGGCACCAGGGCACGAACCTAGGCACGAGAAAGCCAACATGGGTTCGGAATGCATGCAGAAAGCAATGTCAAAGAATGTAATCATTGCCCTCCCAGGAACCTGGAATTCTCCACGTTGGTATCTGTTTGTGTGGATGGCTGGAGCGAAAGCTCAGGCCCGAGCGGCGCCCAAGAGCTCGGATTCGGCAGGCAGGCGGCCAAGACCTGGAATACACTCAATGCCACAGGTGTTCGAGTGTCGGTTCAAATAGAGATGGGAAGGCTAGACAGTCCCAAAATGATTACGGATCCCTTCAATTCCTCTCAGATCAACCCCGAACTGTGAGAGCGTTCAAAGTTGCTCACATTGAAGATTGGCCACTTTTTCCATTGCTGAACGAGCATGTTGGTGTATGTCCCTCTGCTATGCTCAATGACTAGTGCACCTTCCAAAGCGGATGCCAGGATGATCTGCAGCTCGTCAGCAGAAACCTGACCGCCGAGACGTCTGAGCCAACTTGCAATCCAGAATCGCATTTTGGTGCCCTCAGCCCTGCATGAGCTTTGGGGGTCACTCGTGGGTGCCTGAGTGCCTCAAGTGAAATGAGCAAGCCCTATGCGTGCGACATGCAATGCGACACGGGGATATATTCATAACACCGGCCTTGTGGAAGGCCGCCAAGCTGCGGATCTCCTCCTCGATGGGTGCCTTCTTGGCACCCGAGCCTCGAGTTGAGCGCAGGAAGCTTTCGAGATCTGAACTTGAAGCCAAATGCCAACCAAATTGAAAAAATATCTTGGTGTTCTTCAAAATGGACACCTTTTGGTACTTAGAGACAAGTATCTTGAAGTACGGAGCCTTCACATGATCCGAGGATCAATTATTGGTGTTGGTAATGTAGTCAGGCTGAGGAAGCGAACCTCCCTCCCAACAAAAAAATGTCAAGCTAGACGCATTTTTGGAATGGTGTTGGCTTGCGTAGTGCCATCAAGAGTTGAAAGTCATCATGCAGGATACAAAGCTGTGCGGTGATCAAAACTTGCCCAAAACAGATCTAAGCAATGAAACTGATCGGATATTCGCAAGGCCATAACCAGTGCAGCATACAAAACAAGACGAGGAATCAAGTACTCCCAATGGAACATAGAACTTGAGGCCAGGAGATGCAAACGCAGAGGAATTTAAGGGTTTAGCCGGGGAATGTCTTCACGAGAAGAAAGAACAACGTGCAAAGCTCTCGCGTCCTCCGGGCGCAATGCGATTTCAAGGAACAACTTTAAAAGGAGAGCGAAGAGAAGAGTGGGAGAAGCACAGACTTGCGAGGAGAAGAGCACAGCGACGAGTGGGCAACAGAGCGGAGAGAAAAGAGCGGAGCGAAGACTGGGCAGAAGAGCGGGGCAAAGGGTTGAGAATAAGAGCGTGAGGGGGGGGGGGGCTCATTCAGGTACCCGCAAAGGAAAAGTCACACTTCTTGAGTTGTGAGATTCACTGGCCCCATCAGTTGCTCCAGCTAGCAAGCGAGCTTTCGTGATCATTGCTTGTCTCTCCTGAAAAAGACTTGCTCCCAAGCAATCGAAATAAAAGTTGCTCGATCGAGCTCCCCGCGCACCAGCTGCTTTACAGCCGCCGGGATGGCCACAGAAGGGCCCGTCTTCTCTTTGGCACCTAAGAAAGGAATGCTCAGTCGAAACGGTCAAAGGGTCGAAGGGTCGAAGGGTCGAAAGGGTCGAAGGGTCCAAGGGTCGAAGCATGAGCTCGGCCCAAAAAGGACTCTGGTGATCGCAGCGTCGCGCCTGGGCCGGGCTCGTTGATCTTCGACTTGCTCCTGACCGCGGCCATGCGGCGGTTCCAAGGCAAACCTCAAAAATGCTCTCTCTCAACGGGAACAGCACCGGTTGCAAGAAAATGGCAGCGCGCTTTGCCACTGCCTCAAGCTGCGTTGGAGCGTTGGATTGCTGAAGAGCAGGAAGTGAAGGCCTTGCTTTCCACTTGCACACTGCGCGGCCCCATGCCATGTGCGGATACGTTAAGACCCGTGCTCGCAGCCAGCAGGAAGACGCCAATCTCCAGCTTGGCAGCAGAGAGCACCTGCCGAACATTGAAGCAAAGCTAGCCGCCCTCTCATCTTGCACAGCCGTCAGCCTGGATAATCATATGAACGGATTCGATCATCGTGTCACCTCGAGATGGCTTGCCATCTTGAGCTACATACACGTGCCCTGGATTGTTCCATCGGCATGGTCTGAGGCGCCAGACCAAAGATAGTGAGGTTTAGTAGTAAGAATCCTGAGATCGCACCGGACAATCATGCAAGAATTTCCCCAACATGAGCCGCTGGTAGAAAGGGTGGGTCATATTCTACTAATCCTCGAACAAATCGGGGTTTAGTGCCTCGCAACCAAAAACAACTGAATCTTCTCCAATGGCTCACATGGGCTCTGATTTTCTGTCATTGACGGAAACTCACCACACTACTCGAAACCATGCATATATAAAGGCCCCCCAGCTTGGCCTTGCGGCCCAGTGGCTAGTCGTGGACTTTGAGTCAGGAGTACAGTGAGCGCGGGAATTTACAGTAAGCAGTGCTGCACACGGCTTGAGCCAAGGCGACGCAATGGGATGGACACTCAGAAACCAACTCTTCAAAATGAAAACTGGCCAAGGATCGTATTCCATGACTCCTGTCCACGCTAGCGACGCCTGGGAGAGCCGCATCATGGCATCGCTGTCTCCATTTTCAGCAGAAAGCTTCCACCACTTCACCTGAGGTCGCAGCATGTCACAACTACGTGAATACTTGTGTCACACGATGACATTGGAGATGGGTGAGCAAGCCCGCATATGCAAATGCTAATTTGGTGAGCGTATCTGATGTAGTAGTCCTTACTAGTCATCACTCTCCGACGCAAGCAAGCAGGCACCAACCCAAACGCTTGTGCCACGGAAGGCTACAACACAATCTCGCAAACCATCGCGAGAAACCCTCGCCTTGCTCTACGCACTCTTTCTTCCCCAGCTCGCACCCTCACCAATGACTGCCAGTAGCACCCCGACACTGACACCCATTCCTCGCACTACACTTGAGCCTCCTCTCATGCTTGTTGGGATTGCTTGCATTTCTTGTAGTAAAGAAGTATGAAGTGATGCATTTTAGCTTCCCGAAAGAGTAAACAGTGTCTCTGACAGGAGCTCGCTGAATTCGGCCACGGGGACGAGCCGCAGCAATTGTGCCCACCATCAGTCGAAAGGCCAATCACTTCGCATGCTTGCTGAAAACTCCTCGAAAACCGGCCAAGTCAAAAATCGCAAGCGATCTGATGAAAAAAAGGCGCGATCTGGCAAATATCTGCGGTCCTGCACCAGAGGCCAAGCTTCATCCCTCCCAAGCTGCCTCCAAGCAACGGCCACGATGACCCCATCACTACAATGTTGCAGGGCAACTTAGTGGGGCCTTTGGGTTTATCTCCCCCGCAATACGGCTTCAAACGATCGGCTCTCCAGGCGTGTCGGCAAGCCTCCTCTCCTCAAGGAATGCATCACCTGCACAGGTCTCGAGTCTCGACCAGAAACAAATCCGGTCCCAATGCAATCTGACACTCACAGCAAAGTGCCGGTCATCTTTTGCTCCGGCGCTCCACTCTCTTCCAAGCACACGTGGCCAGGGGAAGCGCCTGAGCGCCGTACGGTCTCTCCAGCATTGTGCAGGAAACGTTCAGAAATGGCTCATACCAATGCGGCCCCTTTCGTGAATATGAAAAATGAGTGAGCCCCAAGTCCCGCCAAGTCCCGGCATCCCTCCACACACTGCCGGGAATCTTGACCGAGCCTCACACGCGCCTGGGGATCGCACCCACAATTGCCAAGCGATTGCAGAAGCGCGCACAAACCTCACGCACATAAAGCGCTTCTGGACAAAATAGCTGACACTAGCAACTGGTTGCAACCAAACTCAAAGCAGTTCCATGAATCTATTGTTTACCAATCTGACCAACAACGACACCTATCACAATTTGTGTACTCGCGGCCTGGTGCGACAAGACATCTGGCGACGGGGAAGCCTCACCTTCAGCCTGCAGTGCCGATATGCAGCTTCCAATAGAGCCAGAAAACATTGGAAAGCGCAAGGACCTTTCCTGTTGGAACTGCTCAACGCACCAGCCTTCTTGCCAAAGCTGGCTCTCAAATCTAGCATCCTTTAAGTGACACGCTGGCTACCTTCTTCCTTCACCCAATGGGGTTTCGCCATTTTGAGACTCGTGAGCTTGTTGCCCCATGAGCCCAAGCCCCGCAAAGCGCCTGCGGCTCGAGCTCCTCAGCTTGAACTGCAAATGAGTGTGTTTGAGGGTACTCAATCCAGGCGGGCCTAAAGTTCAAAGGGAAACCAAGTAAAACTTGCAATTCTAGGGGTCGCCCTATTTTGTTTGGAACATGCCCAAATCGTGAATATCCCGACTGCGAGTAAACAAACCTTCCATCACAACATTTGGAGAATCAACCGTTGGGGGCGGAAGGCGGTGCCTTGGAATCACGGCACAAACGTATCCAACAATGGTCTGTGTGTGTGTGTATGTGTGTCCCTTCCAAAAAAAACCGTTTCGAGACCCTTTTCGTCTCCTTCTGCCAGGCGGCCAGCTGTGCCGCTGCAATCTCCTTGCGGATCTCGGCCAGCGGGCGCCTGGCACCCTTTGGCCCGCCGAAGCGGTTCGCCCCACTCCCAGCGGCGAGCCGGTAGATGCTGACGCCCCAGTCCTCCATACGTTAGCTCTCCAAAACTGAAAATGTATGTTGAGTGCCATGCCAAAGCTTTTGAGCAAGCTCAAGAAGACGTTTCCACCGTCAAAAATTGATGTGACAAGCAAGTCTCCAGCTGGAGACGTATCAGTTGTCACACTGATGAGAACAAATACTACACTTGATAGCCAAAAGGCCGAGAAGGTACGACTTCTTTATGTGGAGTTCCTGGCACGCATTCAATTCTTCTCCTGCAGCCTATTCCCAGAGTTTCGAGGGATATGGCCGTCGGCGACACTTCCTTTTACTAAAACAAAATCCCACACATTCACAGCCCTTGCTCCTTTCTCATATACCTCCACCCGTCATCCATCGAGACTCAAGTCCAAATGCGCAAATCGTTACTTTTGTGTCAAAGGGCGCTTTTTCCACAGCCTTCTCCAACCCCAGCAGTCCCACACCTTGCTTGCTGGAACTAAACTTCCAACTGAGAAAGTCAGCTTCAAAGTGGTTGTTGTAAAAAAACTGTCAACCATTGCAGGTTTTCACAAGGAAACTAAGCAAAGATCCCAAAACCGGCACAACTTTCAGGCTCACAGCAATGCCAAAATGAGCATGTGATCTGAGAATCGATGCATCCAACGCAGGCAATTAGCGGCCTTTTGTGCACACCTGTAGTGAACATTGGGGAAACGGCAGGTGAGGCGGACTTGGCTCCCACAAGGCCAACAACACAATCAGGCATGACACCAAGCCATGCATCATCTGACCTATGTGGGTAAACAGCCTCTCCTCACTCCAACGCCGCGACACCCCAACGCCGCTAATGGACTGTACAACAGAACCAAATTAACTGCTGCTGCAGTCTCAATCTTCATCAGTCATGACTTCACGCCAAAAGACTCCGGCATCAAACGCGTCTGGGACACGTAATTCAGGATGGCCGCTGAACGCCATCCACCAAGCTGAGCTGCATGATTACATGAACAGGCTTGCCCTCCCTGGCCGATTGGCCACACGTGCATGGGCGAGACATGAGAGAACCGGCAGGGCGATTCTTCCTTTTCCGCAGCCGAACATGCAACGCGCCATCTTGCAGCACAACAGCAGAATGCCGCCCAGGCGGGAGTTCATGAAGCTCAGACACGGCTCCTGCTTCTAGCCGGGACAAAACTGCCAGGAAAGCAAAAATATTGTCGCTGCCTCATGAAATTCGGGCATGCTTGTGCAAAATGACACCATCTGCACAGTTGTAGGAAGGTTGAGCAACAACTGCCGTTTGAGATCAGCCGTCCCTGACATCGCGTCAAGCTTTCTCAACCCTGTAACCGCCAGCCGCAGTTGTGGCCCATGCCATTGCAAAGAAAAATCACACAACCGACACCCCCAAGTGATGGCACCGACATAATTCGAAGCTGTGCCCGCGCACCGAAAAACAGAGGAGGAAGCGTAGCATCAGGCGGGTAGCCCAAAATACTTACAGCAAATTCTTGCCACGCTCGGAGGCCCGACGCCACAGAGGCCTTACTGCCCTGCCGGGAAGCCAGTTGCAGCGCGAATGCTCTGCTGTCCAGACCTGCTACAACGCTTCCAGAGCAGTCAGCAGCAGCATCCCGCGCAATGTTGGTTCTGGGCGTCTTCGTGGCCAGAATGGACGGCCCTTCCACAAAGTCGCTACTGTATGACTTGGCCACTTCAGCTGCAGAAGCGAAACCCACGCCCAACCAGCTGCAGCGCTGATATGTGATGCCATAGGGTGGTGTGGTCATCTTTTTCCACTTCCCTGAGCCAGTCAGCCATCTGCCTCACTTTGGCTTTGAAATCGTCTGCCACACAGCCACCGAAGGGATGGCGCACCTTGCCAGCATGTTCAGCGCTCGCCATGAAGCCAGAACAGCGCTGTGCTCCTGTCAGCTGCGTCCACACTTCTGGCAAATTTAGCAGCGGAGAGAGCCAAATCTGCTTTCTCAGCTTTCCATTGCTCAGCTTGGCCCAGCAGCTTATTCAGCTCAGACGCGTGGTCTAGCACAAAAGCTTCCAAAACATTCTGCACCCACGTTGCAGCAGTCCAATATGCTGCAGTTGCAGCTGGGCTCTGCGAAGGCTGAGGGCTCTCTCCGCTCATGGCAACAGGCCACAAAACCACTAGAGCCATAGAGGCAACGACACCAAGCAATAACAAAGAAAACTGGAAAAAGAAAGGGGTCACAAGTGAACCTGCAGTGAACCAGTTGGAAGGCAGGCAGGGGGGAACCCACTGGGCCTTCATACGCTGAAGCACTACAAAATGGTCTCGAGTAGGTCTGTCCGCTGGACTTGACCCAGACTCGACTTGACCCACACGCAAGTCCACGCGTGCTTTAGAGCCACAGTCGGCCTATGCACCCAGAGGCTTCCGGGCCACCCCCGCCACCGTTCATGATTGCATGAAGCACTCCATCATTGTCAACAAAAGCAACCCAGCACGAACCAGCCAACAAAATGGTCACCCCTATCAAGCAGCGCATCAAAAATTGCTGCAGGGGTTTGTAGCCTTGTCCAAAAAGCATCGTTTTCGATTGAGACAATGGCAGCGACCCATCTTGTCTGACCGGCGGCATCCGACCATGAAACACATTGAGTGCGAGAACTCTCCTTGCTGCGCCTTGCAGAAGCCGGCGGCTTGCACAGGTACTGAAGAAACCACTCAACAGACTGCGCCAAATGCCGCGACACAGGCATTGGGGCGTGCGCCTGTGCAAAAAAGGGCTTAATGAAGGCTGTGTCACCGCGAATCTGAGCCTTCCTGCCAATTTGGACGCATTCCCTGATGAACACACTTGGCTCCGAATCTCACGCAGCTGGCTACTGTGTTTGGCAGCTTTAGCGGCGTCAACCTGAGTGAAAAGGATTCTGCCTGCAAAGGACAACGTGCAAAGAGACCCCAGAACGGTCATTGCAGCGGCATGGTCGGCATTCTTAGCGTCATCGCTTGGGAATCCAAGCAGTGAAGTCAGAATGGAAAGCACCACCCCTCCAGTCAGCACCACACC